GAAGAACTTTCTTTTAGTAAAGTTAATGGGAGAGTCAGTCAGTCACTGATTTACATTTATGTTGGAGTTTCTTGGTTGATGATATTTTCAGATATGATGCCTGGAAAGCGAAGTTTAAGACGATCAGAGTGAGTAATTAAGTCAATTTTTGTACTACTACTACTGTTTAAATACTAAATTTTGACTAAATTGTTTGAAACTACATTTTAATTCTGTTTTTGAAAATTTAACATATTGTTTTTCATTTATTATTGTTTGGTAAGGGTAACTATAAATCTTATTCCAAATACATTGTTAATTTCATAACACTTATATTAAATAGATGCTTTATAGAGATGATTCATTGATTCGGTTGTTTAGTTTATAAAATTAAACAATTGACAAGTGAACAATGTTTGTAAATGAAATTCTTTATTTAAATTTTGATAAAAATAACTAATTGCTTGAATTTTAAATGTGTATGTCTTATGGGTATTATATTAACACAGTCGGAGAACAGAAACATTAAAAATGTAATTGTTATTTATTAATTTAATTTATCCATAAATAGACAATGTCTTTCACAGAGTGAGTACAAGAAAGTTGCTGGTAAGGTAATGCGGCAACAACATAAATGTACTTTCTAAAGACCATCAAGCAAATTCTAATAAAATGGTTGTGGCCTTGACTTTGAAATGATCGACACTTTTAAAACGGTTTATTTACGTTTCCTGACTCACAATTCAACAGTTGATGGCGTGGTTATAATGTTCTTGCAAAAACATGAATATTAGGGAAAAAACGTCCTGATAGTCCATAAACGACAAACAACAGTCATATATTATCATGTGAAAATGAATCCATCAGGAAATTCAAACAGTACTATAAAAATCTCAAAAATCTTTATATGCATTGTTAATTTTAAAAGCTGTGGACTTGATTCAGTATCAAATCAATTTTGTTTCTAAATGAATGTTTCATTTTTCGGATGTTAAATATTTTCTTTGTGCAGGGGGAAAAATGCTAGTGGTGAGAAGTATAGAGTTGCTGGTCATCTTAAATCTTCACATTTTTGGTGTCATTTTATCTGGGATGTACTACTACATTATCAAATACATTAACAGGTAAAAATCTTGCCTCTACTTAAGTCAAACCAAACATACAGTTGTCTGTTTTACTAGAGTAATTCAAATTAGACAACATTTTTCACTTGTCTCTTCTATTCGTGATTTTGAAACTTAAATATAATAATATTACAAATGATCAGTTAACATTAGCAACTGATGTAGTTCAAATTACCTAAAGTTCATCAGCGTTTCATTTTATTTTAGAGACACCATGGATGAAGATTCAGACGACAAAGACACCAAGAGGTAAGTTACATATTGCAGATTTTACAGTAATAATAAAAGATATTTCGATATCATTTAAGAAAATCGAGGAATTTAAGTGAGAAAAAACGTAGGGACCAATTTAACCTCTTGGTGAATGAATTGAGCTCAATGGTGGCGACAGGTGGACGGAAAATGGATAAGTCAACGGTATTAAAAGCTACAATTTCGTTTTTAAGAAACCACAACGGTAGTATGATTATATAAGTTTAACATACATATATTTTGATTTTTTCTTCTAGAAATAGCTATGCGTTCGCGTATCCATGAAATCCAAGAAGATTGGAAGCCGTCATTTTTAACTAACGAGGAATTTACACATTTGGTTTTGGAAGCAGTAGATGGCTTTATTGTGGTCTTTTCTACATCGGGTCAGATATTTTATGTTTCAGAGAACATTACCTCCTTGCTTGGTCATCTTCCGGTATGGATTGGTAGCTTTTATATTAAAATACACGTCTTCAAGAGGATTTTTTTCTAGAATGAACTTTTGAGTTCGACAATTTTTGATTTAGTTTGGAACGAGGAGCATAATAACTTGTACAACAATTTATTTAATCCTGTGGAAGAGAAAGGTCAAGTTTGCTTTTCATGTCACCTACGCAATGGTAGAAAAGATTTGAATGAAGACAGTAGTTTTGAATTAGTTCACTTTGTAGGCTACGTAAGTAAGTATTTTTGTTGGTAGAAATTGGAAAAGTGCTAATAGTGCTAATACACTTTTATTGTATTTTTTTGTTGTTACAGGATCGGACGCCGATGGGGTACATGAGGCTAATTTTAGCAGTGCTTTTTCTACAGAGATCGACGCAACAAGGTAAAACATTACTTTACTTTCCATTGAGCTGCTTGAAAATAAAAGTAATTTCAGAATGGTGTTCGTGGGTATTGGTAGAATTCAGGCGCCACAGCTAATTCGTGAAATGTCTATAGTCGATTCCAATAAAAATGAGTTCACTTCTAGACACAGCTTGGAGTGGAAGTTTTTGTTTTTGGATCATCGAGCGCCGCCAATAATTGGCTATTTACCGTTCGAATTACTCGGTACTTCTGGTTACGATTACTATCACGTCGACGATTTAGAAAAGGTATCGTTGTTATTATTCATTTTAATAATTGAGAGCGATGTGACGCTAAGTGGCACTAAGTGAAATATTTTAACCACTATTAAATATTTATCAATTTTAAGACAAGGAATTTGCTAATTAACTTGTAACCAAGTAACAATTTGTTATATTTAAAATAGGTCGTGAGCTGTCACGAAGCGTTGATGCAAAAAGGAGAAGGTATGTCGTGTTATTATCGATTTTTGACGAAGGGACAACAGTGGATCTGGTTGCAGACCCGTTTTTACATCACTTATCATCAGTGGAATTCAAAACCCGAATTTATCGTGTGCACTCACCGAGTGATCAGGTAAGGTTAGCCTTCTTTTTTATGGACACTTGTATTTTATCCCCTCGTAGTTATGTGGATGTGCTAAAGTACAATAGAAAAGAACATGGTGTTGAAATGACCCGTGGTAAAAATTCACCGACAGCGTCTGCTGCGAGTAGCAGTGCATCTGCTACATGGGACAGTAAATCAACTAAAAGAAGACATAGTCAAGAGGAGCAACCATCCGATTGCACTTCGATGTCCGCAGATTCTCCAACTTCTAGGCTGTCTGGTTCTGTACAACAGCAGCAACACCAACCAATGGTATAACTTTATCAGCTATAGTTAACCAATTATTATTCAAAGAACTTGTTGCACTTCAGTTCATTAATATTTCCTCTACGTATTTGTCGTTTATTGTTGTTAATATGTTTTTGTAGAGACCCTCAAGTGTCCAACGGAAGCCGTCAGGCTCCGTTTCAAATTGTTCTGTAGAATACAAGACGTTGGTTGAAAATCAGTCGAAATCGTCGATCTCAACGTTCGCCGAACCGACACAGAGCACCACGTACGTCAGTGCTAATGTGAATTCACAGCCCCTTATGGAAAATTACTCGCCTTCAACCGTTTTATCTCATATACCGGTAAGTATATATAAGTTTTTTTTCGTAGTATTTACCTTTTTTTAACATTTTCTCATCGTTAGCCGGTGGAAATGAGTCCAGCACAAAGCCAGTTGCAAGCAGATTTGCAGCGTAAGCACGCCGAGTTGCAGGCCTTAATAGGTCAGCAGCAGGCCGAATTAAGACGCGTTTCGGAACAACTATTGATGGCTCGATTGGGACTGTTGCCCGTACAAGATGCTGCGACAGATCTCCATCCGCAGCTCACTAGCAATAACGTAAGTTATTTGGAGTAATATAAAAGTCAAAACAACTTAAATAAAAGCCCTCGCAGATCGTCAGTCATTGCCAGTATGGACCAAGCAGCATACCGTCGGCTGGAGTGATTCATGCCCCTATGTCGCACATTCAGCAACAGGTGACGGTTTCTTGTTCGTCCAGTTCCGCGTCTTCGCAACAATCCCATCACAGTAGTGTCCCACCTCTACCGCCTCATCCTCCTCCGCCGCCGCCGCCGCTTCCAGTATCATCCCTGCAAAGTCATCCTCACATTCATCTCCATCATCACCCTCAACACCAACAACAACAACAACAACAACAGCCAGTATATGCGGTGCAGCCGCTACTGGATTCTGAATTATCGATTACGACGCGCTTTCACAACAGAAACGTGGTGCCACCTTCCTCACAGTCGACGGTCGTAACCGGCTTGGCTATGTCATCGATACCTTCTGACGACGTTTCCCTTGTGGCAAGCTCAGATGATGAACTAGTAAGAACTTATCCACCGCCAGATTCGAATTCCTCGACGGTTAGTAAGTGAAGACTATAGTTTGAATTTTTGTTTTTTGTACTTTCGCTGAAGACGAAGCAAATGACAAGTGCAATATATGTAGTTGTACAGTATAATACAACGCGTGAAACGATAGTATACCGTGAAGAGAGTGAGCGTGACATCAAAATAGTGACATGTTATAGTGAAACGATGTCATATGCATGTGTTTTATAGTTCGCCTAGACGTTTTAATTATACATAGACATTCGTTATACTTTTGTTATTTTAAAGTAAAAGTAAAAGAAGGAAGTGCAGCTTTTAGTACCACTTACTATTGCTATAATGTTAATTTATTATATCACGGTCAATAATACATAAAATTAAATATTAAAGAATAATACATATAAAAATATGCTATGTTTTGAAAAAGCACTAGATATTTTACAATTTACGCAAAGTGTTGAGTAAAGTCTGCATTTCTTGATTTAGATGCTGAACGATGCTTTCGATTTGTGGTTTAGAATCCAGTACTTCTATGCTTTGGGTGTACGGATTGTATCGAACACCAAAAGGTCTTGGTATAGTGGTCGCGTATTTTCTAAAAAATAATGACGTTTTTATCGTGACACATTAGAATTACATTCTTACACTTACATCATTTTGTCTTTGGCGTCTTCGAAGCTTTCGGCAACGAAATATACCGGTTGATACTCAGTTATAGGATATTTTTGAATAGCTGTTTTTTGAGGATCGAACGGTCTCACTTCTGCCTTCCCCTCTATAGAATACGTCAATTCGCCATAAGACGACAGCAGTCCTGCCCCAAATGCTTTCAATTTGTTGTTTTCTCGGCATAAACCGAACTCAACGGTGAACCAGTAGCACTTGAAACAATAAAATAAAATTTTTAAATTAATTATTTAAAAGACTTACTTAACTTAAGTAGAATCAGCCGTTAGTGAAAATTGAGATTCATCGTAGAAAAACAAAAACACTTAACTTTTACAAATTTATTTAAATTACAACAATTACTTTGCCGACATTGTAACTTCATGAGATAGGTATACTTATTTGTTGCACTTACGGTTGCTAATTTCTCTATGTAATCGTCCGGTGCTCCTAAAGATGCGAGTCCAATTTCTTGGGAAAATTGGGCAAAAGACGGATCTGCAAATAAAGGAACGTGCCCTAAAAGTTCATGGCAAACATCGGGTTCGGGAGTATAATACGGTCGACTTGGGTGTCGAATGTATTGAGTGGAATGGAACACCCTAAATGCCAGACCTGCCAGAAAATCTCTCGAAGATAACAGACCCGCAACAGGACGAAGCGTGAATCCAGTACAGTCTTAAAAACAACAGTGTTCAGTTAAGATGCAAAATAGTTAGTTGTATCATTTATAATAGCTAAAGAAACCTCTTAAGAAATTGGAGACGTCTTCAAGTTGAGGTATGTTGTTTTCTTGGTAGCCGCAGTTTTCCATTAGAAGTGGAAACACGTGATTGTGTTCTTTGCACGCGTGTGTTGGATATAATTCGGTTAATTGTCTGAAAACCTTTCCCCACGTTTCAATTTCTTTTTCAGTGTAGTCGACGTGCGGAAGCGGTTGACCATGTTTATAGTTGTAGGCAAGATCAGCAAAGTATTTTCTGCGATCGCGATAAACTGAGTCGGTGAAACCCGGATGATCGGCGTCCAGTTCCGCCCCGTATGACAAAATTTGATTGGCGAAACGATCCAGGTCGCGAATTCGACGGGGAAACCACGGTACACCATCGCCATTACCTATAAATAAGTACGCTACTTAACATTAATTATTTATTGTACCTACAATATAGGAATAATTTATTGTTTATTGCCATTTTTGAAATCGTTGAATTACATCGGTTATAGCTTAATTTATTTAATTGCTAATTTTGAAAGGATAATTTACCTTGATCGTCCTGGTAGTTTCTGGAAATTAGACTGAAATGATCGCTTACTTCCTTAATTTCTTTGATAGCATCTTTTAAATTTCCTCCGTTTTCGCATTCGACCATGAATTCGTATCGTGAAGTTTCACGGGCCGACGGTCGTGACTCGATATGAGCCAGATTAACTCCAAATTTTTCAAAAATTTTCAAATATCGTGCGAGTACGCCCACTTCTTCTGCGGGAGGTTCGAATAATAAACAGGTCCTTTTCGACGAATCTCTTCCGGGCCTAATGTAGTTCCCTCCAGGCATTAATTTTGGCTAGGAAATAAACATCCGGCATTTTATTACTTAGTACGAATACAAAACCCAATTAGTCAAAATCTCTATTAACACGATAGATGTTCAAGTTCATTTAAACTAGCTTATTTATTTTCCCTTTTTTTGTATCCTATTCGAGTTATTATAAAATACAGCGATTAAAATTTTTTGTTAATGGCATATCTTCCCATCTGCAAATATTTAAATTTCATCATTGTATATAATAAACAAGATATTTCAAAATTTTCTGATAATGGATAATTGCTTATTTAAACAAAATAAGTTTATAGGATGATGAAACAGTTTGCTCGTTTGCCAGCACCAATACATTACATACGATAAAATATGTTCAGGCACAGAATTATGTAATTAATATTTCCTTTAAAATAATATAATAAAGATGATATGTAAATAGGTATAAATCAATTCTTCATTACTTCACAATTATGTCGAAATCGTAAAGGACAAAGAATCTGCAGTACTAAACAAACGGTTTAAAGGAGAGCATTGGAGTTTAAACAAGTACTAGTAATAGTATCGTATTATAATAAGAATATTTACCACGTCTGGAGGACTTGAGGATAACGAACCTTCTTCCTTTTTTGCGATAACATCCGCAATTATAACGAATTCCTTCATTTTTTTTAAATATATATATATTATTGTATGAAGTATAAATATAACTCTTCTTCTAAAGAAACGTTGAAAACGTAAGAATATTATCGCACTTATTTATTCTTAAATATCACAAACAGTATCAACATGCTCGCGAGAAAGATCTTGTAAAATAACGTTACCGAAAATATTTCGCATCTTAAATACTTATCGAAACGAACATAGGTTTGATAGTTATGAGCATAAGAACAACAAACACAAATATTTAGAAGAAAAATGACGACGATAACCTCTGTGTAATAATAATTAATTTATCATTTTCAGTGATGCAAGTAATTTGATGTTTGTTGTAGCATGTAATCACCAGTTGCAACACATCGGAAGAATATAAGAAATTTCTATTTTATTTACCAGCAAACGCAAACATGCAGATATAATTCCTATCTTTTTTTTATAAATATTCCTGCAATGCTGTAGGCAACAAGTTAAATAGTTTTTCGTTATTTGTTAATTATTTGTAATATGACAATACCGATCTTCTTGTGTGGACGCTGCTCATATTACCTTCTGTAAAATGATTATACCTACCATAGGGTCTAGGTTTGTCCAAAACCATATGAGGAGCCCCACGCAAGGACAATATGGATAGAAGTAACCTGTGAGCATTTTGCAACCCTCATTTTTAAAATTTTCTTTTTTTTACTTTTATCTTAATCAAACAATCTTGAAAGTTAATTTTCTACCCTATTATAGGGGCTAAGATTCTCAAAATCAATTAGGGGACGTCGAATGAACCTCACGCTAGGACAATGTGGACAGAAGTAATCGGTGAGCATTTTGCAATACTCATTTTTAAAATCCTCTTGTTTTTACATTTATTTTAATTAAGCAATATTGAAAGTTTAGTTTCTCCTTTATTATAGGGTCTAAGACTATCAAAATGGCATGAAGGACGTAGAAGGGGCCCCACGCAAGGACAATATGAACAGTAGTAGCCGGTGAGCGGTTTGCCCCCTATATTTTTAAAATTTTGTTTCTTTTACTTTTATTTTAATTAAGCAGTTTTGAAAGTTTAGTTTCTCCTTTACCATAGGATCTAAGATTGTCAAAAGCACATAAGGGACGAGGAAGGAACCCCACGCAAGGACACTATAGACAGAAGTAACCGGTGAGCATTTTACACCCCTCATTTTTAAAATTTTTTTTTAATTTTATTTTAATTAAACAATCTTGAAAGTTAAATTTCTATCCTATTATAGGTGTTAAGATTCTTAAAATCTATTAAGGGACGTGGAAGGAGCCCCACGTAAGGACAATATGGACAGAAGTAACTGGCGAGCATTTTGCACCCCTACATTTAAATTCTTCGTGTTTTTACTTTTATTTTAATTAAACAATTTTAAAAGTTAAATTTCTACCGTATTAAAGGGACTAAGATTCTCAAAATCTATTAAAGGATGTGGAGGGAGCCCCACGCATGGACAGAAAGGGCAGAATTAACCAGTAAGCATTTTGTTACCCTCATTTTTAAAATCCTCTTGCTTTTATTTTTACTTTAACTAGTTCTTCTCCCTTATAGGTCACAGTAAGCTCGAAACTGTGAGCATCATTGCTTTCAGTGGTTGTAATTCACTTTTGTGAACAATTTGTTTAATCATATTAGTTGTGTTAGAAATTGATTGAAAAATTAAATTTAAAGGGATTGTTTCTAAATGGGTATGCAACACATCGTATACTTCAGCTTAGGAAATTGCAGATCCTTAGTACCTAATATACAATACACTTCTGATAATTTAGGGTTATTATTATTTTTATAATGGGCATGAATTTAAGATGCGCTCATTATGATGATTTCAAGAATGTGAATCTATTTTAAAATGATCCAAAGATAAATATTGACATTAATTCAATCAATAAAGATAAAATACATATCACAGTGGTATTTTATTTGACATAGTTTATGATTTTGCTGTAAATTATTCATAAATTTAATGAAAAATATATATAATGTAAATGATAAAATTTTAACATTATTGAATACAACTTACCTGACGTTTAGTTTTTGATAGGTTATGTTTAAATTTTTCATTGTAATTTAAAAGAAAATTGTCTGAAATTTTGTATTTATTCCTCATTTATCCAATTGTTACCTGGTATAATAGATAAATGTTAATCAAGTGAAAAGTTTAAACCAATTATAACTGTTTTTTGGAGTATCGTTGGCTATATTTTGTAGTGAGTCTGACAATATCACATGAGGGACGTAGAAAGAGCCCCACGCAAGGGTAATATAAATAGAAATAACCGTTGAGCGTTTTGCACCCCCTTATTTTTAAAATTTTCTTGTTTTTATTTTTATTAAGCAATATTGAAAGGTTAGTTTTTCCCCTACTATAAGGCCTAAGACTGTCATAATCACATGAGGGACGTAGAAAGAGCCCTACGCATGGACAATATGGACTGAAGTAACCGGTGAGCATTTTGTACCCCTCAGTTTTAAAATCTTCTTGTTTTTACTTTTATTTTAATTAAGCAATTTAAAACTTTACTTTCTCCCTTGCAATATGGTGTAAGATTGTAAAAATAACATAAGGGACATAGAGCTAGCCCCACGCAAGGACAATATGGATAGAAGCAACTGGTGAGCATTTTGCAACCCTTAATCTTAAAATCTTCCTTTTGCTTCTATTTTAACTAGTTCTTTCCACTTATCAGTCACGGTAAGCTCGAAACTGTTAGCGTCATTGCCTCCAGTGGTCGAAATTCACTCTTGTGAACAATTTGTTTAATCATTTTCTTAGTGTTAGATATTGTTTAAAAAATTAAATTTGGAGGAATTGTTTATAAAATGGTAGGCAACACATCGTACATTGCAGCTTAGGCAATTGCATATTCTAACTACGTATTATATAAAACAATTTTGAAAGTTAAGTTTCTGCTTAATAATATGGTCTAAAATTGTGAAAATCACATGATGTAAGTAGAAAGACGCATGGATAATATGCACAGAAGTAATCGGTGAACATTTTACACCCCTTATTTTTACAATCTTCTTTCTTTAACTTTTATTTTAATTAAGAAATATTGAAAGTTCATTTTCTTCCTTACCATATGGTCTAAGATTGTCAATTTCACATGACGGAGGTAGAAGGAGCCCCACGCAAGGACAATATGGACAGGAGGAACCGGTGAGCTATTGGCACCTCTCATTTTTAAAATCCTTTTTACATGTAAGAATGTCAAAATCATATGAGCGACGTAGAAGGAATCCCACGCAAGCACCAAATGGATAGAAGTAACCGGTGAGCATTTTGAACATTTTTTGTTAAAATCTTCTTGTTTGTTAGCATCTAATTCTTAGGTAAATGAACCCTATTTTTTTCTTGTGTATATGGCGATTAAGTTATTGTAATGTGTTAAAGCAATGCTTAGCCGTCTTCGTGTGATGATACAAGGGAGTTTTTATTAACAAAACTAGTATAAAATTCACAAGCACATTGTTCGAAAACATTAACTTGCTTTTTATAAGAAACGAGCAGTTTATTTTTAGGAAGCTGTTTAAGTAATTCGTAATCACAATTAATTTACAAAAAGTTACACTTATTTAAATCACTCAATGAACAGACGAGCCGTTTGATGATTACTTCAGTAGGGTATGCAGGTAATGTTAGTAAGGAGGCTGGACGGATCATATGTAATACTGAGTTCATTTGGACATTATATTATGGGCTAAATTTTCGAAAATACAACATGTTTATTTAATTTGAGCAGCGTATGCTTTGCTTTGTCTGGTATTTTTCCTTTCATGTATCGTTAGTCGCATGGAACGTACCCAATTTCTTCAAAGCATCAATTGAGGTTAACATGCATCTATGGTTATTTGATATTGTTATTTTGAGAATTTATTGTGTTTTGTAATGTGTTAGCTTCTTCATTTTAATGCTTTTGTTAATTTTTGCATTTCAGTTGGTTTTTGGTGCGTTTTTGTTATTTATTTCATGTTATTTACTTGATAACATACTTAATTTGTTTTTCTTGTCGATTATTTGCAGATAGTTGACTTAATAGTCAACTGTAGTGTAGGACTCCTAGGACTTTGTTGTTTGCTGCTTACCATTAACCTAGAACGAATTTGCAGTGAAATGGCAGTGCAATGTCTGGGGATCGTCTCTGTGATTGTGTGAGCATCTAGTTCTTAAGTGAGTAATCCGTTGTTGTTGTTGACTATCATCATCATCATCATAAGGTCATCAGTCCTAAGACTGGTTGGACACGTACCTCCACTCTTTCCTATCCTGAGCTAAACTTCGCATTTCCCTAAAACTAGAGCAACCCACATCCTTAACTATTTGCGAAGAGTAATCTAATCTAGGTCTACCTCTACCCCTTCTAACTCCTGTTTCTGCCTCTAATATGTCTCTGACTAGACCTTCATGCCTAAGAAGGTGTCCTACCAACCTATCTCTTGTGTTGTTGACTATATGTTGATTAAATGATTATGATGTCTTAAAGCAACGCTTAACCATCTTCCTGTGATGATACAAGGGAGTTTTTATTAACAACACTAGTATAAAATTCACCAGTACAAAGTTCGAAAACGTTAACTTGCTTTTTATAAGAAACGAGCAGTTTATTTTTAGGAAGCTGTTTAAGTAATTCGTAATCACAATTAATTTATGAAAGTTACACTTATTAAAATCACTCAATGAACAGAGGAGCCGTTTGATTACTTCAGTAGGGTATGCAGGTAATGTTAGTAAGGAGGCTGAACGGATCATAGGTAATAGTGAGTTCATTTGGACATTATATTATAGGCTAAATTTTTGAAAATGCAACATGTTTATTTAATTTGAGCAGGTTATGCTTTGCTTTGTCTGGTATTTTTCCTTTCATGTATCGTTAGTCGCATGGAACGCACCCAATTTCTTCATAGCATAAATTGAGGTTAACATGCATCTATGGATATTTAATATTGTTATCTATTATCTATGATTGTTATTTTGAGAATTTATTGTGTTTTGTAATGTGTTAGCTTCTTCATTGTAATGTTTTTGTTAATTTTTGCATTTCAGTTGGTTTTTGGTGCGTTTTTGTTATTTATTTCATGTTATTTACTTAACAACATCTTTAATTTGTTTTTCTTGTCGATTATTTGCAGATAATTGACTTAATAGTCTAGTGTAGTGTAGGGCTCCGAGGACTTTGTTGTTTGCTGCTTACCACTAACCTAGAACGAATTTGCAGTGAAATGGCTGTGCAACATCTGGGGATCGTCTCTGTGATTGTGTGAGTATCTAATTCTTAAGTGAGTAATCTGTTGTTCTTAGTTGTTGACTAAATGTTTGATTAAGTGATTATGATGTTTTAAAGCAACGCTGAACCATCTTCCTGTGATGATACAAGGGAGTTTTTATTAACAACACTATTATACAATTCACCAGTACAAAGTTCGAAAACGTTAACTTGCTTTTTATAAGAAACGAGCACTTTACTATTAGCAAACTGTTTAAGTAATAGGTGTGCACTATTAATTAATACAAAGTTACAATCATTTGAATCACTTAATGAACAGAGAAGAAAGTTGATAGATAGCTGAACTGATCATATATATTAGTGAGTTCATTTGATATGGGGCTACTTTTGTTAATTTTGCTAGTTGATTTCGTTTTTGGTGCTTTTCTGTTATATATTTCATATTATTTCTTTTATAACATTGTTAATTTGTTTTTTTTGTTGATTATTGGCAGATGGTTGACTTAATGGTCTACTGTGCTGTAGGACTCCCTGGACATTGTTGTTTGCTGCTTACCCCTTACCTAACACGAATTGGCAGTCAATAATGGTGAGAATAAAGGCCATTATACTGTTTATTGATATAAACTGAAAAATAAGTTCATAATTACTTTAAGGCGGTATGCATGCTATAGCTATAGAAGATGAGTTAATGATTCATAGTGAGTACATTTAACATTTTAGTGTTTCTATTAATTTTAAATACATAAGAAGTACATTTTCTTAAACAAGTGTACAGTAAGTCTCGAAGTTGTAATATGTTGTTTGTTTAATAATGCTACGCTGTGTACTTGTTATTTTTCTGTTCATCTGAATTCCAGCCTCATATCACACCATATCCCACACCCAAGTCTCGTACCCTAAATGCGACACCGCACATCCACAGTAAATAGCCACACACTTCATGCCCCAGTTATGCAACCTATCGCGCAACACCATACACACATCTAACGCCACTCCCAGCATCTGGTATCTCGAATCCGCGCCCGTTGTCTGTTCAGCATTGTCTGATAACCAGTGGATGATGTACTGTGGTGTTCGATGTGTGTTGAACGCTTCATGTGGGAGTGGTCCTATCTCGAGGTCGGGAATGTTGTGCTAGGTATCCCATGCGGCAGTCGGACAGCAATATTCCGAAATCGGGGTGCGGTGTTTGCTGCAGAGGCCGGAGGTCCGTAATCAGATTTCGACTATGTGTGGTGTGAAATGTATTTTTGGAATGCAAGTTCGACGTTCTCAACGTTGTGTCAGGGGTGCTACATTTGGTGTCGTCGACTGGTTATTCTTTGTACGGTATTTGATGCACGGTTCTTTGTTTCAGATAAGCGCCGTTCGGCGTTGTGATCGGATTACGGCATTCAAAAAGTAGTGGATAGTATATGAAAACCTACGGACATAAAAGGTATTGTGCCTTGTAGCTGTTGGCGCCCCTTGTTTGTTGCAAGGCATTCGGCAACTGATGTGTCGGATATTCGGCGTTGTTACCCACATTGCGGTCTGGGAATGCAGTACTAGGTAGTCAGTGAGTTGTGTCCGGTGTCAGGATATTATGCCTTGTCCGATACGGTTCACCAGGGTTCATGTAACAGGTAAGTGATAAACGTTACGTTTTTGGAGTGTAGTAGTACTAATGTAGAGGTCGTCTCGTCAGGTTAGGTCAGGTAAGGTAACGTCTGGGCATTTCTGGTCAGATCAGGTGGAATCAGTTCAGGTCGGGTTGGATCAGGTCAAGTCGTATTGGGCCTGGGCAGGTCGGATTAGGTTAGGTCAGGCACGGCCGAATTAGTTCAGGTCAAGTCGGTTCATTTCAGGTCGAATTAGGTCAGGTCCCGTCAGTTCAGGTCACGTCGGATTAAGTCAGGTCGGGTTATGTCGTGCCCGGTGAGGTTAATTCGTGTTGCGTCGGGTTAGGTCAAATCGATCATCAGGTCGTGTCATTTCAGGTCAGGTCGAGTTCGGTCAGATGGCGTCATATTAAGTAGGGTCACTAAGTCGTGCCATTTCAGGTCCGGTCAGGTTGTCATGTCCAGTCAGGTCAGGTCAGGTCAGGTCAGGTCAGGTCAGGTCAGGTCAGGTCAGGTCAGGTCAGGTCAGGTCAGGTCAGGTCAGGTCAGGTCAGTTCAGGTCAGGTCAGGTCATGTCGTGTCGGGTCAGGTCAGATCAGGTTGTACTGGGACGTATCAACATAATTCAACGTAATCAACCCAATCCAACCCAATATAACCCAACCCAANGTGAGTTATGCAACGTACCTATGAATTGATTTTTATTGTATTGTCACTTGTTATTTATTTGTTTGTTTTGTTATGTGATATTTTAATTTTTTTGAAATTCTTCACTTTTAATTTCTTTACAAATCCCTGTTATAGGTACATAGGTACTTACATGTAATTGAAAATTTTGACATGGAGTATTTTTCCATCTTGTATCACCTAGGAGCCTAGGACATACATAATAATAATAATTGCAATTTAGTTTATTCGTAGGTGGGTACTGACTAGATATTTGTATGTAAGTTAAAGGTAGTTACGTTTAACCTATTCGTTCTTATATATAATTTCATGTTTTCGTAGTAGCTGTAGGTACCTATGCATGTGAGCGTGCATTTCTGTTTGTGTGTACGTGTGCATAGATTAATATGTAACAGCCTGACTTTTTACATAACATTCAGTAATTATGCAAATCGATAGTGTAATAACGATTATTATTATTTGCCGTTGTGTTTTCTGTTGCGGTAAAATCCAGAACAAGGTCGCAACTGATTTCGTCTTGAATTGAACTTTCGTGTTGTTATGAGTTACCTACATTAATAAAAATAAGTAAATACGTAAAAAAAACCTATTGTAAAACATGTACAGTTAATTAGAAAGCTCAGTACCTAACAAATAAAATTATAATAAAAATTTTACAAGTGTGCAGCTGTTTTGCAACTGTGAATTGTATAATGAAAGTAACCCTCCCTTGAATTTTTTAATTTTTTTATTAAGGATTTTATTTTTGTAGAATTTAGAAATATCATCATGAAGTCTTGGTTGCGAAATACATGCTCGATTTTTTCAATCGAAATAATATTGTTTATAAATTATTTGTAGGATGTGAGTAGTGGATAGCATACTGTTTATAATAGGTAGGTACTTAAAAGTTTTTTCCCAGCATTCCAAATTACCGAAAAGAGTAGTCTACATGCATTTGCGTTGTAGGAAATTTCTATTTGCATAATATCGTGGCAATAATTATTTCTGCGTGTAATAACTAGGTTAGCGACCTCCTTTTTTCTTCCAGTTGCTCGGTTACCCTTGGGAGCATTTGTAAGCTGCTGTATTTGTTAATTTGTACGTATGTAACCAAATAAACAACTGCATAATGGGTTGCATAATCCTCATGTGGTGATTAATAGAATAATCATTTTGTATAGCATAAACTTTTTTACAAACGGACATGTTTCGTCCACATTTATTTTTTACCATTATCAACACGTAACTAGTTGTTTGTAAAAAGTTTTTGGTATATAGGGTTGAGTTTCTTTATATTATCCAATTTACTTACCACAGTCTCCTTTACTATTGCTTTTTTAAATTACATTTTACGTTAATACCTTATTGTTAACTTTAATATGTTTAACAAATGGTAAATTTGAACTTTTTTGTTTCAGAAGTGTTCTTCATAAGTGGTCCGATAAACGCATCGGATTTCGAGTGTATCCTTTGTAGTCAATGTCTGTTAGATCCCGTAACTACTACTTGTGGACACACGTTTTGTCGTAGTTGTTTGGCGCGAGTTTTGGATCACGGTTTGTCCTGCCCTCTTTGCATGGATGTCCTCAGAGCGACAGATTTGAACAGAAAAACGACGCAAGTACTAGTAAACGCACTGCAAGTTCTTCTTCCCGAAGTGTACAAAAAATGTACAGCAGCTTCACGAACCGAAATTAGTTTTTCGGAAGAAAATAGTCAAGTAAGCAAGTGCTTTTTACTGCGGCTGTGGTTGCCATTATAAAGAGTTTTCCCCTTTAGGTTCCTGTATTCGTCTGTACGAACGCTTTTCCAGGAGTGGCGTGTCCCCTTTTTGTCTACGAGCCACGATACAGACTTCTAACTAGAAGATGCTTACAATCCAACAACAAAAAGTTTGCTATGGCAGTGAACACTAAAAGTAACAGTAGTTGTGGCAATGTGGAAAAGTTTGCTTCATATGGTACAATTTTGGAAGTCCGGGATGCAGTATATATGTCAGACGGGACTTCAATTTTGTCCACAGTAGGACTAGAAAGATTTAGGGTAGTGAACAGAGGCGAAAAAGATGGCTACGATACGGCCGAAATTCAATACATCCGCGACATGACAATACCATCAGACAAATTACAAGCAGTACTGTTGTTGCATACACATGTCAGAACGAAAGCTGTCTCGTGGTTGCAATCGTTGAATCCAATAGTTTTTAAAGAAATAGAAAGATCGCTGGGCCCAATGCCAGAAGTCGAAGAAAATTGGACCCGATTACCTGATGGACCGAGATGGATCTGGTGGCTGGTGCCAATTTTACCCCTCAGTTCACAGTTGCAGGTATATAATAACTTTCAAATGTAATTTAACTGTACATTAATGTTTTGTTTTAGTGATAAACTGTTTTTGTTTATAGCTTGGATTTCTCAGTAGCGTCAGCATTGAAAAGCGTCTTCGTGCGGTAGAGAAACTTTTGGACCATCTGACCGATCGCAACCGAATGGTAATAAGTGACAGTGCAGTGAAATGCGTGACAACGACCATCACAACGCCTACGACATCAACAACTACAACGACTGCTAATCATTCGTGTCATTTTTTTGAAAGGGAGTCCCGAGAGAATACGGCTAGCGCCATTGATGTCTTATAAATAAACGAACAAACAAGGGACACTTCTGTTAATCAATTTTATTGATAATAAAGGAGGAAGAAAATACGAAACGTTCAAGTTTACTACTATTTATGGAGGAATTAATTAGGTGAAAAATAGCATGTAAGCAAGATGTTTTGTGATAGGAAAATCAACATGCTACTGGTCAATGAATTCCGCTAGTTTTTTCATTTTTAAGTCTCTTGCTTAACATTTATTTTAACATGCGGTTAGAATATGTTATGTATATTTATTCATTGTTTTCCTGCTGTTTAGGATGATCTTTATTGGTTATTTATATTTGTAACAGAATAGAATTTTGTATATTTCGTTTTTATTTTTATACCTGAATAAAAGGTGTTATAAACAGTTTTGCAGGTTTAATAACAAATCAAACCGTCGCCTTTAGAATTGAAAAATTAATTGTCAGCAGATATTTTTTGTTTTATATTTTTCTCAGCGGTTAACGTAAAAACTAGTGATTTTCCGATGGTGTCTAATTGTTTGCTTGTCATTTGTGCTTGTAAACTGATCATCGACTGATCTAATAGGGTAAGCGGAATATATCTATAATAGTATAGATAGTTATTAATAATAATTACATATAATACTTCAGAATTATGACACAACAAAAGAAAGAGACGGAACGAAGATTCGGACAATATCCATCTCTCTCACGATAGTGCGTAAGCGTGTCATGAAAGAAGATAGCACTAGTCCGAAACCATACGCTATCTCCCTCACTTTTCCAGCCAAGAAATTATTATACATATATTAATGGACGTGCCTTAGCCATATGTCATTGTAATAATTTCTTGTCTCGAAAAGTAAGGGAGATGCCTTATGGTTTCGGACTAGTGCTATCTCTTTCATGACACGCATACGCACTATGGTAAGAGAGATGGATATTGTCCGAAACTTCGTTCCATTTCTTTCTTTAGTTGTACCACAATTCTGACCGCTAAGGCATGTCCATTAATAAAAGTCGATGGTGCGCCCATAGACACATATATTATTGGACGTGCTTTAGCCGTATGTCATTGTAATAATTTCTTGGCTCGAAAAGTGAGGGAGATGGCGTTTGGTTTCGGACTAATGATATCTCTTTCATGACATGTTTACGCACCATCGTGAGAGAAATGGATATTGCCCGAAACTTCGTTCCATCTTTTTCTTTCGTTGTACCACAATTCTGACCGCTAAGGCACGTCCATTAGTAAAGTCGATGGGTGCGCCATTGGTGAATCATAGATAATAATACAGTCATAGTAATGCCATTGAAAAATTTAGTATTATTTGTAATCATTACTAACAAATAATATAAAAAATAAACTCCACTTAACGACGCACAATTTATTGGTAAAGTTTGAATTAGTGGATTATTTATAATGGGTGCCAGTTCACACGACTATAGAAATGAATACACCATATAACCACAGATGTATAGGTAGCGTTTATTTATGGTTGTGTCACAACCATAGACACATCCATTAACACATCGACGTTTACTAATGGACATGCCTTAGCGGTCAGAATTGTGGTACAACAAAAGAAAGGTAGAAGAAAGTTTCGGACAATATCCATCTCTCTCACGATATTGCGTTGGCGTGTCATGAAAGATATAGCACTAGTCTAAAGCATATGCCATCTTCCTCACATTTCGAGCCAAGAAATTATTACAGCGACATACGGCTAAGGCACGTCCATTAATATATGTCTATGGTAATAACCATATTTATCGTGGTATTCAGTGGTATTATTAAAAATGCGTTATAATAAGGTTATAAAAATAACTGGAATGTAATAGTTCACGAATAGTACATAGTACGAGCAGTAATAAAGAAAATTGATAACAATCAAGTAACAATGCAATCCACAAATTCTACCGTTAATTAAAAATTTTTAGTAAGTCGATATATATGTCTTTTCAATAAATTCCTGCAAAGCATTTTCTGTTTGTAAGTTATGGTACTATTACGTAATAAAAAGAAAAAACGTTGAAGTTGCTGATTTAAATTAATGTATTTAAATTAAAGAGAAAGACCTTCTAAAGCAGTATAACATCTACATAAATAAATGTGAAGCAACGAGTAAATTGGGAATGTGGGTTTATTTCTCTACTTTGTTCGTTGGAAGAACTTTCTTTTAGTAAAGTTAATGGGAGAGTCAGTCAGTCACTGATTTACATTTATGTTGGAGTTTCTTGGTTGATGATATTTTCAGATATGATGCCTGGAAAGCGAAGTTTAAGACGATCAGAGTGAGTAATTAAGTCAATTTTTGTACTACTACTACTGTTTAAATACTAAATTTTGACTAAATTGTTTGAAACTACATTTTAATTCTGTTTTTGAAAATTTAACATATTGTTTTTCATTTATTATTGTTTGGTAAGGGTAACTATAAATCTTATTCCAAATACATTGTTAATTTCATAACACTTATATTAAATAGATGCTTTATAGAGATGATTCATTGATTCGGTTGTTTAGTTTATAAAATTAAACAATTGACAAGTGAACAATGTTTGTAAATGAAATTCTTTATTTAAATTTTGATAAAAATAACTAATTGCTTGAATTTTAAATGTGTATGTCTTATGGGTATTATATTAACACAGTCGGAGAACAGAAACATTAAAAATGTAATTGTTATTTATTAATTTAATTTATCCATAAATAGACAATGTCTTTCACAGAGTGAGTACAAGAAAGTTGCTGGTAAGGTAATGCGGCAACAACATAAATGTACTTTCTAAAGACCATCAAGCAAATTCTAATAAAATGGTTGTGGCCTTGACTTTGAAATGATCGACACTTTTAAAACGGTTTATTTACGTTTCCTGACTCACAATTCAACAGTTGATGGCGTGGTTATAATGTTCTTGCAAAAACATGAATATTAGGGAAAAAACGTCCTGATAGTCCATAAACGACAAACAACAGTCATATATTATCATGTGAAAATGAATCCATCAGGAAATTCAAACAGTACTATAAAAATCTCAAAAATCTTTATATGCATTGTTAATTTTAAAAGCTGTGGACTTGATTCAGTATCAAATCAATTTTGTTTCTAAATGAATGTTTCATTTTTCGGATGTTAAATATTTTCTTTGTGCAGGGGGAAAAATGCTAGTGGTGAGAAGTATAGAGTTGCTGGTCATCTTAAATCTTCACATTTTTGGTGTCATTTTATCTGGGATGTACTACTACATTATCAAATACATTAACAGGTAAAAATCTTGCCTCTACTTAAGTCAAACCAAACATACAGTTGTCTGTTTTACTAGAGTAATTCAAATTAGACAACATTTTTCACTTGTCTCTTCTATTCGTGATTTTGAAACTTAAATATAATAATATTACAAATGATCAGTTAACATTAGCAACTGATGTAGTTCAAATTACCTAAAGTTCATCAGCGTTTCATTTTATTTTAGAGACACCATGGATGAAGATTCAGACGACAAAGACACCAAGAGGTAAGTTACATATTGCAGATTTTACAGTAATAATAAAAGATATTTCGATATCATTTAAGAAAATCGAGGAATTTAAGTGAGAAAAAACGTAGGGACCAATTTAACCTCTTGGTGAATGAATTGAGCTCAATGGTGGCGACAGGTGGA